GGGATACACTGGAGTATCAGCAGTTATGCATTCGATCATCTCTGTCTCCTTTAACAAATTTAGGTTGCATTTCTTCTGTGATATAACAATGCCCTTCCTGAACATTGTTAGCTCCATACTTAGGAAATATCTCATGGTTCCTAGGTCTTTGATTTTAAACCCAGTAGCAAGCACTTCTTTGATTTTAAGAATTTTTATTTTATCATTACCAATAAGAATCATATCATTCACATATATTATCAATACAACAATCTTACCTCCTTGAGTGTTTTCAATGAATAATGTATAATCAGTTTGACCTTGAGAATATCTATTAGATCTCATAGTTCTAGCAAATATTTCAAATCATACCCTTGGTGATTGCTTAAGAGAGACCTTCTTAGTTTGCATACTAGGTGTTTGTTAGAATCATTCTAAAGTTATGGTGACACCTCCATGTGCACTTCAAAATCCTCATTCATGAAGGCATTTTTTATATCAAGTTGCTATAGTCTACTCATTGTTAATTGTTACTTGGAGGAGAAATTTAATAATGTTTAGTTTGACAACTAGTGCAAATAGTTTCCTTATAGTCAACCCTATAGGCTTGAGTGAAACCTTTTGCAACCAGCCTATCTTTGAATCTATCAATACCACCATCAGCTTTATACTTGATGTTGAATACTCATCGGCATCCAATAGGCCTCTTATCTTGAGAAATTTTAGCGAGAATCCATGTGTCACTATACTTCAGTGTTTGAATCTCCTCTTCAACTGTTTTTCCTCCATTCTGAACTTTTAAGAGCTTCAGGAATGGACTCCACACTACCAATGTTAGATACAATAGATTTATAAGAGGAGGATAGCATAGCATAAGCTACACTCCTGAATTGGATATTTAGTACAACTTTACTTTTCATCAGCACCAGAAGAGGAAAAGGAGAATCTGCATGCTCCAAGGTTAGATATAATAGATTTATGGGATGTGGATAGCTTAGCAAAAGCTACACTCCTAAATTGAATATTTGGTACAGTTTTCCTTTTAGCAGCACCAAAAGAGGAAAATGATATTAACTCATGAGTTCTAAACTTCATCTCAAATTTCGGATATGGACTCAATTGTTGGTTTAAGCAGTTTTGTCTTTGCAAGCTGTATTTAACATGCTCAAAATTTTTTCTTCCTCTTTGCGTACAAATGAAATTCTTTGTTATGAACTTCAGGTTAGACTGGTTGAACATCGTCAAATAGGATATTTGTCATGGAGTGATGTTAGGGAGATAGAAGGGTAGGTGGAATAAGGGTAGATTATGAGACAATGTAGATGTCATTAAGTGCTTCCCAAAATTGATGTTCATTTGCACTCTCCCCCTGAACATCAAATTTGAGATAATATGATTGATTTTCAAAAAAGTGTGCATCCATGGAGTTGTAGTATTTTTTGGTAGCGTGTGAGTAGCACTTATAGCCCTTTTTGTTGGAGACATGCTCAAGAAAAATATATTTGATGAATTTATGGTCAAATTTTGTACAGTTTAGGGAATGGATAAGAACAAAAAATACACACACAAAAATTGTAAATGGTACAAAAGAGAAAGCTCTGATGTGATGATAGGTATCCATCAAGACATGAAATAGTGGTGTTTTAAAATTAAGTACACAGCTAGGCATTTGATTGATATGGTGTGTTGTAGTAAGAACTGCTCCCCCAAAAAATATTTTAGAACATGATGGAAATCATAATTGAATAAGATACCTCAAGAAGATGTTCGTTCATTCTCTCAACTATCTCATTTTACTGTGAGGTATCAAAAGATAAACTCACATGGATGATTTCATTTTTTTTTAAAAGTATGACCCAATGATGGAGTTCAAATATTTCTTTGCATTATCAATTTTGAGGAACTGAATTTTGCATTGAAATTGAGTTTGAATAATGTCATGGAAGGTTTGGACGATTTGAGTTATTTCAGATTTCCCTTCATTAAGAATAATGAAGTGGTTCTAGCGTGATCTTCAATGAATGAAACAAACCATCTAGCCTAACTTAGGGTTCTTATTTTTTGAATGGCCACAAATATCACTTCGGATAATAGAAAAAGGATATGAGAATTTGTATTGGATCATAGCATAAATATTTCTAGTGTGTTTAGCAAGATGACAAATCTTACATTGATAAGTACTATATTTTTTATTGCAAATAAATGAGGTGCACATTTGCAACATAACTAAAATTAGGATGGCCCAGATAACAATGTAATAACATCACATAGACTCAACGGACTCAGAAACTTGAAGAAAAGATGAAGGTGAGACCACTTGTGTGTTTAGAGAGATTTTTCTTAAACAAGTATAGGCATTCATGCATTTCAACACTGTCAACCACCGTCCCCAAATCCACCACCTAAAATTCACAAATGTTTGAAAGAAATTTAGTAAAGCATTTTATATCATAGGTAAGTTTGATGATTGAAATTAAATTACAGTCCAAATAGGAAAGAGTATAATAAAGGTGAGACCACTTGTGTGTTTAGAGAGATTTTTCTTAAACAAGTATAGGCATTCATGCATTTCAACACTGTCAACCACCTTCCCCGAATCAACCACCTAAAATTCACAAATGTTTGAAAGAAATTTAGTAAAGCATTTTATATCATGGGTAAGTTTGTTGACTGAAATTAAATTACAGTCCAAATAAGAAAGAGTATATCCCACGACTGTGAAATATATAAAACAGAGGAAAGAGTAATATCCTGAGAGAGCTCTATCTCATTTTCTAGCAGTTTTTAAGTGCGATCTATCTGCAAGTTTGACAGGTCTAGATGTAGAAGCCTCTAGATAGTTGACTAGAGCATTGATGTCTCCATTCATATGATCAAAAGCTTCTGAATCAATAATCCAATATCCAAATCTCACATTATTGGCAAGATGGGAGAAGGATATATTGTCTTGATATGTCATGAGGCTGGTGTGTTGTTCTGAATTGCCCCTAAGGAGTTTTTCAGTACTTCAAGCTATTCTTTGGTGAATGGGTCAATCGACCCTTCAAATGTGATAATATCATTAGCTTTGCTCTCTTGATCTTTCCTTCCATGTCAAACTTTTCAATCTGCAGGCTTTCCATGAAGTTTCCAACATTTATCTTTGAGGTGCCCAATTTTCTTGCAATAGTCAAATGTGGGAGATTCTTCTTGAACATTTGAGTCATGGGAAGAATTATTGGAGTACAAAGCTGAGCTTTGAGCAATTAGTGAACTCCCAATTCCATTATCATAAGCTTCTTTCTACTCTCCTCTTCTAACTTCAGCAAAAGTTTCATGGATAGATGAAAGAGGCTTTATTCTCATAATCCTCCTTCTCACTTCATCCAGTTACTAAATCTCATTAGAATTTGATGGTTTTCTTCTTGCAATGATGGATTTATACATCACGGAATCATGTGGACATTTCCTCGCATATGTCTCAAACATATCCAATTGTAGCCGATACTTTGTCATGGTGATAAAATATTGGGTGGCACTTAGCTCTCTTTGACAAAGATCATGTAGTTTGGTTTCGATATCAAACAACTTTGAAGTATTCTCGGTGCTAGAATAAGTTTCTTTTGCAACCTAAGATTTCTTTGGTTGTTTTCTAGAACAAAAAATTCTTCTATTTCAATGGTAATTGAGTTGAATAGACAAGACATAATAATATGGTATTGAATCTTCCATGTGTGATGATTAGGATCAGTGAGCTCAAAAAATGTATCCTCTCCAGTGAGATGTTCCTTTTTTTTTTCATAAATATACATAAACCAGAATTGAGACCATTGAAGGAAGTTATCAGCATTGAGATTATGTTTTGTGATAAAGGAAGAGAGTTCAGGGATTGTTTTGATAGAATTCATGATCTCTGATTCAGAACAAACCTCTGAAGTAGAATTAGAAGTCTTTATTCCATACTTGGTGATAAGCACTACCCATATTTAGGGCAAGATAAGGGAGTTGGTTGTTGCTTGCTGCATGAATGGAGTCCAACGGCTATGATAAGGAGCAGTGGAGGGCTTGCAGGCTGGCCACAGGGATTTCGGCTGCTGCAGTGGGGATTTCGGCTATTGGATGGTTGTTGAAGAGGGCTCTGGTAGTTGTAGAAGCACGCAAAAGAGGGTTTGCAGGCTAAAGAAGAGCTAGGATTTGTTTCATTGGAACGAGGAAAGCTTCAACCGAAGCTCCAGATGACGTTGTCGAGCAATGCAGATGACGACGCCGAAGACGTCTTGGGATGCAGACAACGACGCCAAAGACATTGATTCATTCGATCAACACAGACGTCATGGGAAGAAGGCTACGAGGCCGTTCGAAGCCTCGCTGACATCTTTCGAAGCAAACAAAGCCTTCAAAACAAAATTGAAAATGCAGATAACATCGAACAAAGCAGACGCAGATGAATAAATTTGACGATGCTCCAATCTCATGAAAAGCGTGGGAGGGAATATTCATGTAGTTCTTATTAACAATCTTCAACCATAAGGCTACATATATAAGAAACTTGATCCCTCCTAATCAACAATCTTACAACAATCTTCAACCATAAGGCTACATATATAAGAAAATTGATCCCTCCTAATCAACAATCTTACCCTAAACATGAAAAAAAAATAATTCTGAAATAAACATAAATTAGGAAATAATAAAAACTAATCAAGGAGTTTCCCAAATTGTTTTCAATTAATCCATCACTATTTGGATGGTCATTCTGAGCCCACCATGGAAAAGAGGCCAAACCTCATAGATTTCCACTGTTTTTTTTTTTTTGTTTTTACTTTCGATTTCGCTTTTATTTTAGAAATATGTTTGTTTAGTGCCTTGTTTTAACTTTTTATTTGAAGTTCTTTTAAAATTAACTGAACATATTCTAATATATCAAATATATTTTACTTCAAGTAAAAACATAAACAAAATTAAATAAAATAAAAATGATCCAAAACAGCCCCTATGCGTACATAAAAACAGAAGGTGATAAGCAAATTAAAATCTCATACTCTGATCAGTGACTCTTTGACTGCCACGTATAGCTAATACAACATCCTTCAAATCTTTCTCGCTCAACCCAAGGGTTTTGAATAACTGTTGCCCAAATCTCTTATCTGAGCACGATGCTAATATAAGGTGTTCCACTGACAAGAAGGCATCACCAAATTCCTTCTTATACTTCTTCGAGGTGTCCAGAAGAGAGACTAGATTTTGTCCCACAATTGGCCCACTCGTATCACCAACTATCTGCAAGAAAAAGCAACATTTTAACATTTTCAAGCAGCTCTATATTTTAACACTCTACTCTTGATACAAAGGATAGAAATTGCCTTCGGCTGTGAAGAAACAAATTGATCTATTGCTTGCAAAACTGTAGTATTGTCAATGTTGGCCTTCGTAAATATTCTTCGAGCCAAACCATCTTTCTGCTCCAAAAGGGCTTTCATCAGATGCTCGGTCTCCACCACTTGTTGTTTACTCATTCTTGCAGCATCTACAGCACCAATAATAGCTTCCCATGCCATTTCAGTGAATTCCCCCTGATTAATCTGCTCAAATAAAGTTAATTTAAAATCTTAATAATATTTAGATATCAAAGTGTTACAACGATGGATCCTTGCTAATGTAAAATATAGTTTTCAAGACAAGTAGGTTCTATTATTACGTGGTTAAATAGGATTATACCTATTTAAAATCTTAATAAAGCACTATTGATGGTTCTTAACATCCAATTTTCAAGAAAAATACTAACATCATCTTACTGGTAGCCTAAACATGACTTAACTGAGCAGATAGTAGTTGTTCAAGGATAATAATAATTTCTCATACAGGTAAAACTAAATGTACACACTCTAAATGACTTAATTGCTTTAGACTATAACATGTGGTTACCATTTAGTAGTTATAAAAGGAATTTGCACAACTAATGTAATATTTTCTCTTTCTTAAAGAAAATTCTCTTTTATTATATTTTCTTAAAAATACATGCCTGTGCTAATAAGAAATTCTCTAAAAGCACGTGTTTTGTTCACTCAACCAATTTCTTTCTTCGGTAACATTTTATTTTGCTTATTACTTCTTGAATAAATAATTATTCTCAAATTTGACATTATCATAAACTGAACACATATTTGTCTTCTTTCTTTCATTGTTTCCAATGATTATCGTTTGAATAATATCATTATATCACATGTTTCTTCAATTTCCTCAACAACAACAAGCCTTTATCCCATTAAGTGAGGTCGGCTATATGAATCATTTTTCTCCATTGTGTCCTATTGAATGCCACATTTTCATTTAATTCTAATAAATTAAGATCATTTTTTATACAATAAGCCCAAATCTATCTAGGTCAACCCCTGCCTTTCTTAACATAAATCGAATCAAAAACATCTACTCTCCAAACCGGATCATCAGATGTGTGATGTTTACTGTGACAAAACCATCTAAGACAACTCCCTCTAATTTTATCTGTCACAGGAGCTACACCAACCCTACAAGGGATATAATCATTTTGCACTTTGTCTCTAAGCGTAAGCCACTCATCCACCTAAGCATTACAACACTTAACTTAATTTTATGCTTCTCCTTTAGAGGCCAATATTCTGCGCCATAGAGTATTGCAGGTCTCATCAACATCGTATAAAATTTTCCTTTCAGTCTAAGCGGTACTTTTCTATCACCCAATAAGCCTGAAGCATTCCTCCTGAAGCATTCCTCCACTTCAGCACTTCAGCTAACCAACTTGAATTCTACTAATAACATCCCCGTCTATATCACCATCACTTTGAACAATAGACCCAAGATATCTAAAGTGTTCACAAATTTTAATAATATAATCACCCATAGTTGTAACTCTGTCACTAGAGCTACTACTACTAAAATTATATTCCATGTATTCAGTTTTAGTTCTACTCAAACGAATGCCTTTAAACTCCAATATAGACCTCCATAAATCAAGTTTTTTCCTGAGCTCTTCTCTAGTCTTATTCACAAGAAAGATAACATCAGTGAAAAGCATACACCAAGGTACATCCTACTATATATGTCCACTAAGAACATCCATAACTAAAGCAAAAAGATATAGGCTTAATGTCGATCCCAAATGTAATCCAACTGAAATAGAAAAATATTTGGTCAATCTTCCTTCTGTTCGAATACAAGTAACAGCTATAGTATACATATCTTTAATGACTTGAATAGGAGTCATACCAGCACCTTTCTTCTCTATAACTCTCCAAAGGATATCTCTTGGAACATTATTGTAAGCTTGTTCTAAATCAATAAAAATCATATGTAGATCCTCCATATTCTCTCTATATTTCTCAGTCAAACCTCTCAATAAATGTATAGCTTCCATGGTAGACATGGCCGACATAAATCCAAACTGATTTTGAGAAATCTCATAAATGTATAGCTTCCATGGTAGACATGGCCGACACAAATCCAAACTGATTTTGAGAAATCTTTGTAATACATCTTAACATATGTTCAATTACTCCCATAATTTCAAGGTATGACACATCAACTTAGTTCCTCTATGATTTGCACAATCTTGTGCATCCCCTTTATTCTTAAAAATAGGGACCAAAATACTCTTCCTCCACTCCTCAGATATCTTTTTAGTTTTTAAAATAATATTAAAGAGTTCAGTAAGCCAAGAAACTCCTAAATCTCCTAAATACTTCCACACTTCAATTAGGATATCATCATGCACAACAAACTTTCCACCCTTGGTTTTCTTGGTTTTCTTTGATGCCCCTTCAACTTCTTTTTTTACTAATATGATGGTAAAAAATAAACATTTTATTATTATTAACGATATTAAGATCACTAAGGTCGATCGTATTTTCAGAAACTTCATTGAAAAGTTTATCAAAATAACTCATCCACCTAAGTTGAATATCTTTTTCTAAGAAAAGCACTTTTTGATTTTCATTTTTAATACATTTTACTTGAGTTAGATCTTTACTTTTCTTTTCTCTTTGTTTGGCTAGTTTATACATATATTTTTCACCCTCTTTAGTATCTAATATATTATACAGATTACTAAAAACAGAATTTTTGGCATCACAGATTATTTTCTTAGACTCCCTACAAGTTATTTTATATTTTTCTCAGTTCTCTAAGCTTTTACATTTAAACCGATTTTTATAATATAGCTTCTTATATTTTATCTTTTCTTGCACATTATTATTCCACTACTAACTATTTCTATTTATAGAAAATTTTTATTTTGATTCTCCAAGTACTCTTTTGTCACTTGTTTAATAGTGTTTATTACTTTATCCCACATGGAATTTGCTTCTTCATGAAAATTCCAAATCTTGAAAACTTGAAGTTTACTCATAAACATATTTTATTTGTGTCGGTTAGGTGTCTCCATATAATTCTATAACAATGATTCCTAAATTTTTTTTATTTTAAAACTCTTCATCTTAAAATTCAGAATTAATAATCGATGTTGAGTATTTAAATTCTAACTTAAAATTGTCTTATAATCTTTACATTCTCGACGTTCTCTTCTCAGAAAAAAATAATCAATTTGTGTTTTATTAGATTCATTCTTATAAATAATATTATGCTTATCTCTTTCCTTGAATGAAGTATTAGCAATAATAAAATTATAAGCTAAAATAAAATCTCATATGGCTCTATCTTCTTCATAAATCACACCAAAACCGTCGCCGCCATGAATTTTCTAAAATCTTCTACCACTCTACCGACATGTCTATTTAAATAGACTTCAATAAAACTTCTTTATTCAAGAGGTATCATTTGTATTAATTCTTCGAGGTCATTCCAAAATTTTTCTTTAGAGCCTATCTCTAAATCTACTTGAAGAGCATAAAAACTTATAATATTAAGAATCTTAGTATCAACAACAAACTTAAGGGCTATAATTTTATCTTCAATTCTATTAATTTTTACAACATGATCTTTCAAACTCTAATCTATAATTATACCTACACTATTCCTAGTGTGATTTACCTGAATACCAAAGTTTAAAACATAAGCTATCAATCTCTTTAATCCTTTCTCCAACTCATTTAGTTTCTCAAATACATAAGATTTTTATCTTTCTAAAAATCATAATACCAACTAATTTCATTAAGTTACCTGTGAGAGTACTTATATTCCAAGATCATAACATAATTTTAGTTTCATGAACAAACATCTTTACATGTATCCGTCCGTAATGTGGGAACCATTGTTTAAATGATACTACGCAAATACATAAGATTTTTATCTTTCTAAAAATCATAATACCAACTAATTTCATTAAGTTACCTGTGAGAGTACTTATATTCCAAGATCATAACCTAATTTTAATTTCATGAACAAACATCTTTACATGTATCCGTCTGTAATGTGGGAACCCTTGTTTAAATGATACTACACAGTATAGCCAAAAATAAAGATGTCATTACACTAACCAAAAATGAGGACGAAGGGGCACAAACTCAACATAGGAAATCATAAAACCATTGATTTGTAGCAGAACTCAAAGCAAAGCCATATGGAGCACTCGAGCAAACCAATAAGTGGCTTAAACTATCGAGTTGGATAAAGTTGAATGAGATAAGACTCAGGACTAGTTTTATTGGATCAGTATTGAATTGATTCAACTTTAAATTGCATGAGGATTTATGTTGGGTAGGCTTAAGAGTAGTTAAGTTCATTTTTCAATCAGGATTGGATTAGTTTTAATTCAGGCAAAGCAATTAAGGCAGTGGTTTTGGTTGATGTGTTGTTTATAATTTTTAAATTGTAAAGATAGGACTGATGGAGATGATGATGATTGTTTAGTTCGACATATTTTGAGGTTTGAATTTTAAATTTAATTTTTTAAAAAGGGTCGTTTGGATCACTTTTCTTTTTTTTCTATTTTTTTTGCTTTTATTTTATTTTGTTTATGTTTAGATTTGCAACAAAATGTATTTAGTATGTTTGATTAATATATAGTTGTTTTTTAAAACACACAAAATACCTAAAAAAATATTTTGAGTATTTTCAAAAACATGTTTATTTGTTTTTAGAAACAAAAAATAAATATTAAAACAAATTAGACAGACATATTTTTTTTTAAAATAAAGGAAAAAATAACAACAACAGCAACAATAAGCCTTTATCTCACTAAGTGGGGTCAGTTGCATGAATGTTTTTTGGCCATCGTGTCCTATTCAAAAACAAAACATAAAATTGATACCAAAGAAGCCTAAGAGAAAGTGGGGGTAAATTGTTACCAGATAATAAGGGTGCATTGGTGGTCATAAGTGGTCGGGGAAACAAAATAGGTGTTAACAGAGATGGCCAACAACCAACACTAGAAATTATTGAGAAATGATAAAAATGAGAGGGAAATGATTGTGGAAATGATTATGATGAAATATTAGGGTTTTGGTAGAAATTTTGGGCTCATAGTAATGGTGGCTTATTAAGAACCTTTGATTATTCTAAGGACAGCACAACAAAATGATGTAGTTGAGCATATAAATAAAACCATAATGGAAGGTGCTAGAAATATAAGGTTGCATGTAAGCTTGTTAAGACAATTCTGGGTAAAAGCATTAAACATTATATGTCATCTGATAAATTGTAGTCTGTCGGTACCTTTAAAGAAAGGCTTATCTAAAATACTGGAGTGACAAAGAGATAAATCTATCTCACTTGAAAGTATTTGGTTATTCTACATATGTACATGTTGATGCAAGGTCCAGAAGTAAACTTGATTAAAAATCTGTCCAGTGCATTTTCATTGGGTAGGGCTCGAATGAATTTGGGTATAAATTTCGGGACTATTAACACCAGATGTTCATCAAGGGCAAGGATATGACAATCAATGAAATGAAGATGTACAAGGACATGGGGTAAGTAGGCGGCAATCTAAACAGGTATCATTGGAAGAACATAAAGTGAATTCTCAGGTATTTAAGAGGAACAGTCAACATGACACTTTCCTTTGGAAGTGTTGGGATCAATCAACAAAAATTTGAAGATTCAGATATGGCGGGAGATTTAGATGGTAGAAGAAGTATAGCAACGTATACCTTCACTTTGGAGACATAGCGTTGAGTTAGGTTTCTAAGCTACAGAAGATTATTACATTTTCAACTATGAAGTTAATTACATTACTATCAACGAGGCTAGCAATAAGATGATTTGGCTACGGGGCTTTATGGCAGAACTAAGCAAGGAATGGGGGATTGGAAGGCTTCATAGTGATAGTATGGGTATTATTCATCTTATTAAGAACATTATTTTTCATGTGAGGATAAATTATTTTCAGCTTAGACATCATTTTATTCGCTCTCCTAGAAATTTTGCAATTATTCTTGGAGAAGATGCATAAAGCTCAGAATCATGCATATATATTGACTATGGTGGTGACTATCGAGCAACTGGAGCTATGTTTAGCTTCAATTGGAGTCCGGGAAGGTTGAGATCAGAGATGAGCCACACAATGGTACGTCACTATGCAGATGATACAGATTGAGGAACAAATCTAGAGGACAAGTGTTGGGTAATATCAATCTCCAAGTGAAAGATTTTTGAGAAGTTGAGCCTGAAGAAGCACCCAAAAGCTTGAAGTAGCAGGAAAGACAAGGCGTACCAATGTCATGCCAGCGTAGCTACACCAGCAAGGACATTATCAAGCTACACCACTATTGAGCATAATTATGTCGCTATTTCGCTTGTTTCAGGTACGTAGCCGAGTGTGCAAAATAATTACGTCGAGTGTAAGTGTTGTTAAGCCGGAACGGTTTCTCCATTATGCCTTTCTCTCTTGCATGCGGTATTTTTCTCGACGAGGCTTTCTTGTGAAGAAGAAAAGACTGGAGAAGCAGGATTTCAATGATTTTTCTCATCTGATCGAGAGTTGAGCGTCCAAAATTGTTGTAAGTTTCAATGTTGTAAAGAGAAAAACATGAGTGTTGTATTCTATAATTTCTACTTTTACTGATGGATTTTTTGTGCGATGTGGCTCCATGATTTTTTTATATTCTCGGGTTTTTTACACATTAACTCTTTATGTGCTATTTCCCTGGATTTTATTGTTGTGTATTTTTGTTCAATTTATTTTTTCAAAACTCTCGAATCAGTGTTGTTTTTATGTGGCGTGGTTTTAATTGTTAATAGATCAAAGCTCTAAACATTTGTAAGTTGTTGCAAGAGTTTTGGATTTAATCTGTCCAACATCAATAATCTGGTGAGCAGAAAGAAAAAGTTCTCTAAAAAAACACTTAAAGAAAAAGAGCTTTTTTTCACAAATGGAAGGGACAAGGGCCACTCCAGCACCCCTGCTCTGCCTCTGATTGGAAACCAACCAGATCCTAAGCTTGAATGTTTTTAATAAGCGTCTTTAATTAGTTAACCAAAGCAGGATTTAAACAGGAATGAAAGCTTCTTTTTTCATGACGCATGCGTGCAATCAGTCAAACGGGCCAACTATAAAAAAATAACAAAAACAAAAAATGTTGAAAAATTTTTGTTTCTTCCTCTACAAGCAATCTAAAATCTTCAAAGATTCCCCAGTAAAAATTCACACTTGAATCAAGAAAGAGAAAACCTTCCATGGCGTACCATCCACGGCATGAAAAAAAAATTTTTAAAAATGTTTTTTAATTGCCCAAAAAAATAAATTCAACAAAAACTCAAGAAGAGAGATCTCATCCATTTCCCTAAAGATATAAACCACCATGGAAACGATACCTGGGAGGGGTTTCCATGACCGGACTGAGCGGGCGAGTGGTAATGACGACTGAGAAAACCAGTCTTTGCAAAAGAGCCCAAAGCCGAGGCACGTTCTCTAACTGCCATAAATGGAACTACCCCACGGAATGCGGTAGAGACTACCAGCTCAGGAGAGAAGAGAGACGGAGCAGCGCCGGCGACAATTGATCCCACAGATAACCGGCGGCGCGCTGCCACTGGGGCAGACCTTGCAAGCCTGGCCGCTGCTTTTCGGATCAACATGGAGAGAATCTATTCTGCTTTCGACTTCGTTGGATGAGGGGGAAAAGGAGCTGCGAGCTTAGAAACACTAACGCAAGGTTGAAGTGGTTGTGCGGGAGGATTTCCCTCGGGATTTAGCGAAGAAAAAAAGAACACTGGGAAGGTCCAGGAACGCTTGCGAATGTTCTGCGGCCTCTTTAATATAATAAAAAATGGGGGATTTCACATACATACCAACTAAAATTTTAAAAATAACAACCTATCCAGCCAAATTTTAAAATTTAAAACTCAACCAACCAAAAACCTTCAGCCCTTTCTAAACAGCCACCCTGTGAAGGATTGCTTGCCTAAGAACCCGTTTGGGTCAGCGGTTTTTGTGCAGTGCTGTTGGGGGCCGTGAATGTCGGTTGTTTAGGGCGGCGTTTTGATCGCGACGACCGCGTCATTTAGTAAAACAAGTGTTTCTTCTATATGTATTACGTGCTTGGCCCTCATTCTGACCTCGCGTTCGTCTTCTGCACTTTCCTTCCCCGCGGAGCACCTGCTTCCTCTGCCCTAACCCGTCCTTTCGGACACCATCTTATTATGGTATCATCTTTTCCTTCTCTCTATATTCACTTTGAGACATTTTTGTTTCTCGTAGATCTGCACCGTATGGATTTGACTGTTTTTTTTTTTTTGTGCTTCTGTTTATTGATGGTAGCATAGCTAAGTATTGATACTCTTAAGACAATCAACGAAAAAATGTTGTAAGAAAAGGCACAAATCATCTTTATCATCTTCTTTTTGCTCACTGCTACTAGACATGTATAGTTGTGGTACACAAATCATCTTTATCATCTTCTTTTTGCTCACTGTTACTAGACATGTATAGTTGTGGTCTGTTTAAGCATGCTCATGCAAAACGAATTGCAAATGTTATGCTAAGAAAAGCTATTTTCCTCACACACACAAAATCTATAAAGTGAGGCATTGCATTAGATAGGCCAATAAAAATTCTATGATACAATATTAGGCTTTGCTAGTGAAATTTATTACTCATCCCCTTGGAGCATTTAATGAAAAAAATTTGAAGAAAAGACACAGATCATCTTTCTCATCATCTTTATGTTAAATACTATGAGACATGTGTGGTTGTGGTGTGTTTGAGCATGCTCATGCAAACTAATTTCAAATGTTATGCTAAGAAAAACATTCTTCTCACACACATGCACTATGTTAAGTGAGGCATTGCATCAAAAAGTCCCAGAAAATTTTTTTGATATAATATTATGCATTGCTATTGAAATTCAGTACTAATACTCCTTGAGGCATATAATGAAAAAGAAAATTGTAAGAAAGGTCACATACCATCTTTGTCATCATCATTATACTTAATGCTAGAAGACATGTATAGTTGTGGTATGTTTGAGCATGATCATTCAAACCTAATCTAAAAGCTTATGCTAAAAAAAACATTTTTTATCACACACACACACTCTCTGAATAGAGGAATTGCATCAATTTGCCACAGAAATTTTCTATGATAGAATGATCCTTTCATTACCTGTATTAAAGAGGGGGAGGGTGCAAGCAACATGTCGGGCTAAGGGAACATATTACTAATGTGTTGGTAGGAGAGAGTTCAGGGACATCTCAACGATTGCTATGTCACTGCGGGCTACAGACTTCCCTACCAAAATCACTTCAGGCTCGTAGCTACAGGAGAAAGTTCTATAGGTGCACGCGGAACAACTTAGAGAAGTGTGACTTCTTCCGGTTTGTAGGCAGTTCGACAGATTATACTATTGACGGTGATCAGGAATGGATACCATCACAGGAGGACAGCGTAGCACGGGACATACACTGTCTGCATGTTAAAAGCAATATAATCATTATATTAATTATAATTATAATAGTTTTTACTCTTTTTTGCACTCTTGGTACTCACTGATAAGTGAGGTGTGTATCTAATTTTTTGTACTCTTCTAAAGTGAATTTCTGCTTTTGAATTATCAAATATATAGTTGTGGCAGTTCTGTTACAAACAACATTACTAAATAAGGACAGAATGGTGATTTGTTCAGAAACAGCTGCCACACAACTATTTTCAAACAGTTGAAATAAACAGCTAGTCAGTTTCCCCACAATAGCTTCCCAGCAACAGATTCTTGGGGCAATTAAGTTGTAGCTAATAAGCTGATAAGTTGCAGCTGTCCCAAACAGACCCTTAGTAACTTGCCCATCGCTCAATCATTTCTCACTTGGTCGCTCGCACGATGTTTGTATGTATTTTCCACAAACTTCAACAGTTCCTTAATTAGAACGAAAGAAATCTAAGGGGCTTTCTAGCAATAGATTTAGGTTAGAATTTAACATGGATTTAAGGAAAATATTGCTAGACTATCATCTTAGATAAAATAAGTTGGAAATGGACCCAACATAGGAGGATCAGTTGGAGGAGTTGGGCATGAGGCTCACCTCTCTTCCTCTGGATGTCGAAGAACTACTTTGCCTTCTTGATATAACTACTAACCTATGTTTTATCTTAAAAATTTTATCTTCTTCGCTTCCCTTTCATTCTTTTATGTTTGTTATCATTTATATTAGGAAGATTGGATTTGCTTAGAAGTAGTGTTTTAACTCTTCTATTTCTTATATATTTGGCTTTGTTTAAATTGCATTATAATTTCATATTTTTTTTTATTTCCATTATTCTTATAGTTGAATGGAAAAGTTTAGTAGCGGTTTTGTTGGAATCATACTTTAACTTAGATTTATCACTATCCCTTCTAATCCTTTAGTGGAAGTTTGGTCAATTAATAGTATTAATAATGGTGTGGGGTTGCTCAGAAATTTGGAGTTTAGATTATGTAAATAGCTCTTTTCTATTGTTGTTGTTTGTAGCAAGTAGAGTTAACTTTCGCATCTAAAGTGTGAAAGATTAACCAAGTTTTTGTGTTGAATCAATATGCTCATGCCATTTATGTGTTAGTTGTTATAGTATGCAATTTATATTCTAACATGTTTTAAGTGAATTTATGTTTTTTCCATATATTTAGAGCAGAACATGCTAAATATTCTAATATTGCAGTTTTTTATTAATTAAATTCAAATTGTGCACTATAAGATGGGCATGACAGAGTTGAATGTGTAATGCCTTATATAGGGAGTTTAACGAATCTTATGATTATTAATTATTGTAATGTTAGTTTGTGATTTTGAAAGTCCAACAAACTAAAATCTATTTGTCAAGGGTGAAAAAGACTCCATCATCCTCAATGTCTGATGCACTGCACCCTATGATGAGTTCACTAATCACCAAAGAATTCTTAAATCATTCAAAGGCATATGTCAAGATTTTTGTCACTAGAGTAACTGTTTCAAATGCTCTATATAATAATGATTTGATGAAGATTTATGTAGCATTCTTTATTCTCAAACCATATTTTGTTATCCTTTTATTACTTATGCGAATAATCTATTTTCACAGTATTATAAATATTGATGGTTTTGGTTGTTTTCAAAAGATATTTGCAATGATTGTTGATGCCTTGAAAAAATGGATGATATATCACGATGCTTTTATTCCAAGAGAGTTTTTATTCTTGAAATTATGGCAAACGTTTGCTCTTGTGCTACAATGTTGTACCTTGAATGCAATAATCTTATTCTACATATTATTGTGTTAGATATGTAAATACATAAGAATTGAGTGGTAGCCAATTTTTTACTTATATTCTTCATTTCAGGGTAAATTTATAGGTTTTATTCCTATAGTTAGAGAATAAAGGAGCATGGATCTTGAATTCAATGAATTTATATATATACCATCTAAATTTTAATTATTACATACATGCCAAACCTAAACATGAATGAAAATGTATATTTTACTTTTAAAAATTAAAATGGTTCTACTTTTGGTGTGATATGAATGATTTAAGTGGTATAAATATAACAAGTAAATTTCTGGCGTTAGTTATGTAAAAACATAGGAATTATGTCAATGCCCCAATTCTAAAGGGTAAGCTAGCAAAATTGTTTGGATTTGCACTGAAAAATTAGAAATTAAATTTAATGGGGTTGTTGATTAACTAATATTGTTAATGTGATGTGAGATAATAAATGCAATTTTATTAAAAACCAACAATAATCACCCAAATTCCCCCCTTCTTCAATGTTATCTTGTGTTATGGATTTATAAATACTTTTGAATTGCATGACTAGATGATGAACTTGGGATCAAAATCTATGAAGTTTTCTTACTTTGAGTTTTTCTTGATGGTGGATTTTGGGCTGCTAGCTTGGTTGCTTTCAATAAAAGATATTTCTTGGTGAAGATAAAGATATTTGTGCTTTCACTTAAGTTTTAAATATAAATTTCTTCACTACATCATGAATGCCACACCCCTCATATAATAGTATTTATAATTATTTCATGGAATATTCAAATGTTACTTAAAAAAAATCCAAGGTGATAAGTTGAGCATATTATTTTGGCTTCAAAATTATCATTGAAAACTATTTAGGTATAACCCAACATGTGTTTTTGTATGAATTTCGTATCATTGAAATGATAATTTTCTTTACTTTTTATTTTAATAGTTATTTACTTTTTTCAATCTATTATTCTATTTGGTTTTTTTATTGTTGGCTTTAGTGTGTAAGAAATTAAGAGTGCTCCCAAAATCATTTTAGAAGTGAAGCAATGCTTATAAAAAAAGCAATATTGCTCTACCAAAAAGCATAATTAACACATCTAATAATGTTGAAAGTAGTGAAGATAAGTGCAGGAGAGTAAGTGATGCAACTAGACATAGAACACGAGGTGAAGTTGTTAGAAGATGAATAAATAACATTATTATTATAGAGGTAAATAATAAATTTGATTTTTAATGCTGCCATATTGATAAAAAATGTTTTGGTGGATGCCATTTTTTTATGTTGTTGCAACATTATTATAAATCTCATTATTTAATTAATTATGTCTTATATGAATTTAATTAAATATTAAATTTATAATTTGTATCAATCATATTATTAAATTTGTCCCATCTTAATTTATAGTAAGATTTCTTGAACTATTGCAAGTTCAAGAATCCTTTAACCTCCCTTAAAAAGATCAATTTCTTTAAATATTTGTAAAGTACTTATATTTAATCAGCTTATTAAGTCATAAACAAGTTGATATGTAAATTTAATGTGTTTTTTTAT